AGTAATTAACAAACCTAAACAATGAATAAATACACGACCGTTATTGAGACGAGCTTTTTCTAATATAAATAAAAAATAAATAAATAATCTAGATGAAATACTATTTTTACCAATAAATGAAAATGCTTGATCAAAAAAAGGTAATAATAGTGCATTAAGACAGTCATTGATTGGTATACGAAGAAAATGTTCATCATCATTTTCATCAAGAAATGGTGCTTTCTGTCCTGTTATACTAACATTAATCACATGTGTGATATGATGATCCTAGTAAAAAATAGAAAAAAAATAGTATATTTACACAATAGATAAGAAAATTCTTGTTCTTACTTGCATAACTTTTGTTGATAGAGCATCTTCTTGTGAACCCAAATAAAGAAATGGTAAGATTTGAGATGGTCCAACATTGGGTGGTGTCGATGTTGCAAGACATTGTTCACTAGATGATCGTTGTGGCATATAACTGTTATTGAGAAGCATCGTTTATATCGATGTAAATAACAATTTTTTATTAAAATTAAATTAACCGAAAATAGTTGATCATGCAAAATACATTCGAAATAATATTTATTCATTCATTCTAGGTGTCTAGAATACTCGAGCAAACGCAAATTATAGTTTTTTTCTTTTCTAATCAATGAATCACTGATTGAAACAAAATAAACTAGACTACATACACAGATGTTTTACGATGATTCATACATTGCTCTTGTTCTCTTCCTTTGTTAGAGTTAGATTTGTTTTTTTTTCTTTCGACGCAATTGATCTTCTATAAACCAATGAAAATCTTTTCGAATAGAGATCATAAGTTCAATAATAAATTTATAAATTTATAATATTAAAAATGATTAAAATATTAATAATGACTAATAAATAATTATGATTCTACTCAATTTAATTAAACCAATCAGATTCATGTTCCATATTTTACCAGTCAAAACTCACTTCATCTGAATGTGTTCTAAATTCGTTTAAATTGAGACTACATAAAAGGAAATATAAATTTTCATCTGCGCATTTTAGTAGTTGAAAAAAAACATAACTGTTATTTATA